TTCCTTACAAAATGCTAGAAAGTCCTAACTACTGCATCATATTCTCATCAGTCTCTTTACAGTCTTTTGGCTGATAAAGCAGTTGCGATTACAATGATTTTTTGAGAGGTGTTCTGAAATGTATGCTATTTATTGGTTTTGCTTCCGTTCCACAAAAGCCGAACCTTCGAACGCTACATATTTGGCTGATCGGTAGGATAATAAACTGGAAGAATGAGAACACTAACTGATGCAACTGTAGCTGCCCGTATGCCCTTCATAGGCTAACATACATCTATCACCTATACAATGTTGGCTGAAGTCAAATGCGTGACAATTTAATCAATTGTAGATTATTGACATACCTTCATCTTTTGAACCGCATTTACGATAAGTCAACCACGTGTGTTTTTCAAGTAGTTTCCAGAAGGAAATCAACTTGTTTGCGCAAAACACAGTGCTGCTAGGTAAAGTCTCCAAGCGACTGAATTTAAAAGAAAAGTTTCTTTCTGCTCACATATACTTTACTTTCACACTTAGTACTGCTATTTCTATATATCAAACCCTCTCACCCCAGCGACGATGTTTCCAAGATCGCCAACGTGTCGAACCTTAGCAGTAGGAGCACCATGATTCATATTGGTCGGATTGTAGTGATTACCAGCCGCTAAACAGCCATTTGCTAGATTGCCTGTCTCATGAACATGAATACCATGTTGCCCTGGCGTCAGATTATGTACTGTCCCAGTGATCTAAAGCCTCAGATAGGTTCGCAAAGTGGAAAGTTGCCAATTCATCAAAAGAGATGCCAGCTGACCGTTAACACATTTCCTCTTTGAACAAATGCAACGGTTCCCGCCGGCACCGACGGACTCCCTCCTCGGACAGCTTCGAGCATGTTCGCACGAGCTCTCAGCACGGGTGGCTCACCTGTCAGAAAGTAATCTCTAAGGATTACAAAACAGCAATAAGTCTTGTCCAAATAACAGTGCTAAACCAGCTAAACACTTATTATAACTTTACTTGCTTTAAAGGTTGCCACTTAGCTGAGCATATATAGTTTTTTTTTACAAGTTTTTTTTTTACAAATCTCGCTACAGCACAGGAGACTAATTTATCGTTAAATTTATCCAAGAGCAGATAAAGGTGCAATGTCGCGCAGTGGTTCGTGCTGCGATGTATTTGAAGTGAGCTGTCAAGCAAGGCTTTGGTCCGATCTCCTTTTCCAACATTCCATTGCAGTCAAGCAAGAAACTGCTCTAGAAAATGCTCTAGTTCGAATTCTTCTAAGAATCTAAGAAAATCACCTCAAGCAGCATATTAGGACGTACATGAAAGGATAAAATTCTAGGCCTTATTCAAAACGTAAAATGTTCAAAGACGTTTCCACATTATTTATGCGTAGAGAACTAGTCGATTACAAAAGGTGCTGGGCGTGCGCGCACTATATTGTGATGTCGGGCCATGTAACACACAACTAATAATTATAGAGATGCATTATATATAACTTGGGCTAAAATAAATCGTCTTTGACTATTACCTCCGTTGCAGCATTGAACGACAAGGACACTAACGGCTCCAAGAATCGCTAACAAAAGCAGATTACGTATCAGCATTCTCGAAGATGCGAATCGAATGCCTATCAGTGAAAAATGGTCGCTGTGATAGTGCAAGCAGGTTATTATTCGTATAATGCTGGATTATGCGATCAAATAAAAGACCGCAGGTGTCCGCCTTTCTTCCTGACCGGTTTGTTATACATATATTGAAGCATCAGATATACAATTCATAAAAATCGACTGCTTCAATCTAAACCATATCGCATACAAAACGGCGGCCGCTATCACTTTATGAGATCAAAAACCCAACGATAGCGAGCGCATTTACAGTAATGATGTCCTCGCTAGGTGTGCTGTTCATAGTACATAGACAGCTTCTTCATAGTGAGTCGATGAAAAAAGTCCTGCATGTACGTTGGCACTTTATCTCGAGTGTTTCTAAAAATAGTCGCCTCTTGACGTCTTGAGGGCTCTCAGGTCTCATATCAGTGGAAATACGTTGCCTCATAACGAGGCTGGATTCCGGTCTATTTCAATTCTCTTAGATACTCTAGCATTTCGTAAATGAGTCACTCATGTTTTGCGTCCTCAGGGCGAAAACTGCACTGTGTTTCGAACTATTTTTAGAGCGATAGGAGAAGTGTCAGTTATGCGAAGACACACAATCGCGACGAAAGTGGCATAGTTCACTAGTAATCTCCAAAATCAACTGAGAATGAACCACAATTATAGGCTATGACGATGATGATTTCAGTTCATAGTGTGTCCACGACGTCGGGAACTTTCACCGAGGAGAACAGGGTGACGAGAGTCAAGACGATACAATGTTACAATTAAAGTGGCGGAAAGCTATGGTACACACGCAAAAATGGGTTTAGATCACAATACCACATGACTCAAACTGATTACAGATTAAATAATTGTTCATTCTGTCAACATGGAACTGCTTGTTCAATCGCTATACAGCAAATTAGAGTTAAAAGGGTAATATATTTTTGGCAAAAATCTGCAAAGCATATTACCGTCCACAAATTTCGTTACGAGTTGTGATATGTTTGCTAAACGATTGGGCTTGCTTTGATTCTCTACGGCGGCACTTTCACACTGCGCCTTATTTCTTCAAATCGCATATCGTGCAAAAAAAATTAGTTCTAAAAACGTTTCTTGTAAATCGGTAAATGTAGAGATTAACCTTCCATGAATTAAGGAGTTCCTAAAGTTAAGGTAGAAATGCATCGACAATGCACACGCCCCGATATCTATTCAACGTATGGGAATTTTCTAAAGCAATATTAATGCATCCAGTTGTCAATTTCCTAAAAATCTAAGAATGCAATTATCTCAACCTATGGTAGTGGGTCCGCTCCTTACACATTAACTGAAATCAACTCTTTTCGTGACATATCTTCTGAAAGTAATAATAAATAGCAGCTGAACGAATGTTTGAATGTGAAAACCTCAAAGAATGGTCGATGCCAGGAGAGGATCCAATGAAAAGAGTGAGATCACATATACAACTTGTGACTTCAGGCTGTGTAGAATAACGACAACTGTCTTATTATAGAATGCAGCATCATAGATAAAAGCTAAAGGATGAAGCTCTCGGCGTTGATCAATCCCTGAGGGATGCGCCATGCATTCGTCTTCAATTTCTAACTTCGTTTGAGTGTGATTGAATGCATATCTGGCCTTTACAATGACTCGTGGTTGCCTCCCGCTGAACCGAGTCCAGTGCTGCTTATCCTCCCAGACTAGTCTGAGACCAGTCCGGTACCAATTTACCGACCCCGGAGGAATGGATGGCTTGGTGAGCCATGAGCGCGAGATCTAATCATTGACCTCGCGTGCGACGCAGAGCACCTCTAACCACTGCGCCACATGCGCCCTTTCATCATACATAGGACTATGATATTAACATTATATAGTCCCTAAGACCGACTATCTATTGTGCTCGGCATCCTTCATTGATTTCTTCTTTTTCACTTGAGCAGACACGAGATTTTTTGGTAATATAAGCTCAGACAGCACACGTTTCAACAGTCTCGCGCTATTCATAGCCGAAAAAAAATCAGGTTGTCCACAATTCAATCACTGAAACACCTTCATTATCCTTTAGAAAAAGTCACTTTAATCTCCACTTGATTACTTCAGTAGAAGACTTATATAACAGCGGTAAGCAAGTTGAAAGTTGATTTTGTGTTTGATGCGATAAGGTATAAGTCTGATGATTTTTTTCTAAGGTCATGACGAAGATGTTTGAGTGACTGGATTGTGGGCAACCTGACCATTCCAGGCTCTCAATAAAGGGCAAACTGCCGAAACGTTAGCTGTCTGAAGAAATAACCTTATGAAACGTAGTGTTTGGTTCAAGAAGAAAATAAGGAATTCTAACATTAGCACACTTTTGATTTTTATTAGAAATGGATCAGTGAAACGATGTTTTCAAAAAATCTAATTAGTAGTACTTGCCACGAAAAAATTTAATGTGGAGTGTGTACACATGGATATGAACGCTCCGCTCGACGCTTGTCAACAAGCTACGAGTGATAATTAAAGTCGCTTCGATGCAGCATCTTTTTGACGCCTCCTTTTTCATCGCACTACTTATGAGTTGATAACAACTCATGCTGGTTTAGTATCTCCTAACGCAAGTAAAGGTCCTCGGCCTATTGACATACTTCTAGCCCTAAATTTCGATTTCCCATATATATTTCAACACTTTTCGTTTTCTACTTTACAAGTTCTCCATGTATTCGCCCATAATTACTAAATGTTCTGAAATGAAGTATGCGTTGGAAAAAAACTCGTCCGTTGTACAATCAGGCTGCTGTCAGCGTTTGATAGTTGATTTCACAGCATCTATTAACTACATGTAAGTGATTCTTACAGAAAGCATTTTATGAAGTGACCAAAATCAACCGAAGTGACTGGAAACGATATAGCCATCAATCAAAGGTCGAAGCTCATTTTATATTCGCGATACCAAATAAACAGTAGTGATCCCAAAACTAACTATTACTTTTCTGTGGTGCTTTTTTTATTCGAATGTTATCTGAAAGTCAGTTTTTAGGATGAAAAGCCACTTTTGAATATCAAGCTTGCTAATGCGGTGGTAGTAAACATGAGCAGTAAGTTGTGAAACACCATGAAGATTTGCTAAACGCACAGAAACTACCGGTTCTATCATATTTAACACATAAAAATAATAGTCACAAGAGAAAAGTCGACTCATTTCGTTACCTAGGAGATAGTCGTAAGCGGATGTAGTCGTTGAATGTGAAATTTTTTAGCAAAGTTCTCCTGGAATGGAGAAATTTCATTTTTAACTTATTGCAGGTCCGATATTTTGGAGACGTTATTACACGCTGCCGCAGCTCGTTTGCTGTTCAGTGGGCCACATGTTGGTGCACGCCATAAAAAACTGTATATTGCAATTCAAATTCAAGGCACTTTGACTTCAATGCGATGGTGCAGCGGTTAGCATACGCTCTTGGAAAGAGTGACATCTGGGTTCGAATCACGGCTGAGGCAAACGTTTTGCACAGCACTCTACACTATTGGGTATATTCAATGCACTTTGTATCGTGTTTTGTGCTTTTTCATTGTATTACTACAGTATGTGCTCACCTCCGAAACACCGGTGTATGACCCTGGCACACCAACTCGGGTAAGGCTTTGAACATTCTTAAAAATTTATATTGAATGTTTATTGCGAGGTTTTTTGAGAAACAGTCGATGCGATCGATCAATTTTTTGTTCTACCGGCCGAGATCCATCGACTGAGAAGTGATGATGGACCAGTGTTCTTGTACACTATGCTGTCACCACATACGTCTCCTCCTTGCTACAATGCAGGGCTTAATGTGGGGCACGGGTCACTGACGAGGAGGGCGAAATGCGAAACACCGTGTGTAGCCCTGTCGTACCAACCTCGCTTAGGCTTTAAACAATTTTTTGAAATTACTAGATTTTGAGAAAAATCCGTGGTTGATATACATTGTAACGCGGTAAAGCCATTTTTGCTAGGACGATAGTGCAAAGAAGCTTCATCTATTATACTTCTCCGCCACACTAATTATAACGTCATTTAGCTCCCGTCACATTACTCTTCTCAATAAAAGTCTCAAACGTCGTGAACAGACTATGAACTAAAATCATCGTCGTCTTTGCTATGACCTTGTTTATTCTCAGTTGATTTCGTAGATGACGGTGTGGTATGTCACTGTCGTCGCGGACGTGTGTCTCCTTCTAACGACACTCTGTTCTCATATTTCTCTGAATAGATTCTTGATTTTCTTCTTTGAGCAGAACACGAGGTGTTACATTAAACTTTATTCGATAGCTGACGTTTCGGCAGTTCGCCTTCTTCAGAGCCTGGAAAGGTCAAAATGTTTGCAATACAATCAGTCAAACACCTCCATTACTTCTTTAGAGAAAATCACCAGACCTAGATTTCAATCGCATCAAGCAAAAATCAACACTCAACATACTCACCGCTTTTTATATGTGTTCCACTGGATGATCCAAGTGGAGATCACCGGCAAGAGAGACACATAGGCTCGTAATGCACCCTACCCATCAAAACAACAGTCTTATATAGTGGCTCATATCACGAGTGTTTACAAGGCATTCCTCCCTGCGGTTTATGGTTGGATTGGTCGTATTAATCCAAAATGCTTCCAAGATCTTTCGCGCTGATGTTCTTTGCTCCTGCGCAAGGATGGTGACTTCGATTTCAAAATCAACTCCGTCGTGCTTCTGTGCTCTATGCGTCCCTAGCGGGGTGTTTTGTCTATTAAGACGCTTGTCAGCTAGGTGTTCTTCTATGCGTGCATAGAGCGGCCTACCCGTTTCGCCAACATATTTATCACTACACGCTTTGCAAGAGATTAGGTAGACTGTACCTACGCTCATGCAATCACCGTCTCTGCCGTTAGGACATATTTTACAATCTTTCATCATACAGAGACGGTCATATAAGCGGTTGCGAACTAGTTGGCGTTTTAGAGTATTCGGTGGTATTTCAATAATGGCCACCGATTGCTCTAAACCCGCTCTTTTCAAACATCGTTTTATAGCTGTACTAATCTCATTTGAATAGAACGGGATGATAAACGGGACTTTCCTTTCAACTAAGTTTTCGTTCGGAGGCGCATTATTTCCTCTAAACCTAAGCCGAGAGGCTACGAATTCGTATCCATTAGAAGTGGCTATTTCCCGCGCCAGTTTCACGGATTCTACTCTCTGCTCCTCCCCGGTACATACATTGGCTGCTGTTCGAAACATGTTTTTTACTAGCGCCTTCTTCGTATGTGAGGGATGAGAAGAGAGATAGTGAACCAAGATATTCTTACTACTTGGCTTTCGGTACCACTTCGTTATGTAGCCGCTCTCAGTTAAGCTTATTTGCACGTTCAAGAATGGAAGCCAATCGTCTTTTGGTATCTCACGGGTGAATCTTATATACTCTGACTGTTCATTCAGCAATCTAAAACAATCATCCAGCTCCTCTTGAGTGGAACAGATAATCAAACAATCATCTATATACCTACAGTAGAGTAATGGCCGGAGATCCATCACTGGTGCTTCCACTTTAGACATAAAGGCAATGGCCAGGCTAGGTGCCAGTCGCTGTCCCATTGCCAGCCCTCTGGTTTGAGCATAATAATTCCCGGACCATCTGAAGATTGAGCAGTTCAAGCACTCTTTTAGTAGGATCATGAACTGCTCAATCGTCAAGCCATACATGTTTACAGCTCCCTGGTGTTGTATAAGAAGCTCATGTGTGGCTTGCAATGCGGAGTCATTCGACACGTTGGTATATAAAGCAGTGACGTCGAATGACTCCATTACGTACGCGTTGTTCGGGTTCGCGTTACGTAGACGATCCAGGAACATCTGAGTGTTTGTCAGATGGGCTGGAATGTGTCCTAGCAACCGGGATGTTATTAAAGTCAAGAACCATGCTATCCTATCCGTCGGTCCGCCTACACAACTGATGATAGGTCTAACTTTGAATATAGATGGATCGTTAGACATCAGATCATCAGTGGATACTAACTTATGTGTTTTTATAAGCAAGTATAAGACAGGACATGTTGGTGACTGGATTTTTAATTGAGAAATGATAGATGGTCTTAAGCCTGCCGCTTTTGCCGTACGGACCCACTCACTGTTTAATTTGCGGTTTTGCCTTTTGAATTCCTTTACAGAAGATGATCGGTAAAGCGAGGCATCTGCGAGATGCTTGCTCGTTATTGCGATATCTAACTGTCGAGGAATCACAACAAATTCTCCACCCTTATCACTAACTGATAGCCTTATCCTACCTTCGCTTATCAACTCTCGAACCTCTTTCATGCCACGTTTTTGTAGTTCGGTGAGGTTCGATTGATATCTTCTCCTGCTATAGTGAGTGAGGGTTCTAAAAGTTTCGTCCGCAAATTTCCGGAATTTTCTATCTACCTCCTCGTTGGGGTCTTGTTGTCTATAGAACGGCTGAGGAAATGGTGGTATTAGTGCCTCTACTTGCTGTTCATTCCTATTAGTCTCTTCAACTCTGGCCTTTTTACGGAGTTGATCTTGCAAATCATGTAAACCACATGCAACCTTGCGCAAGGACACCTTAGAAATGGATTGAGATGGTGAAAAGCTTGGACCCAGTTCTAATAGCGAGCGCGCACCGTCAGGGAGAGTTATGCCTCCTAGCACTGTGACCCTTGAATTTCTTGATGCATTACTTGCCCTAATGTGATTCGCTTGATCTTCATTAGCGGTATCCGTATGCCTTCTTCTGAATAGAGTTTAAAGTGCAGTTCAGTTTTCGCATTGAGGACGCATAACAACAGTAACTCATCTATGAAATACTAGAATACATAAAATAGTTGAGTTGAAGACCGTATTCCAGCCTTGTCAAGGGGCAACATATTCACTCTAATCTAAGAGCTGAGAGTCCTAAAGTTATCAAGAGGCAATTATTTTCAGAAGCACCCGAGATATGCGCCCAGCGTACCTTTAGGACTCCTTTCGTCTGATTCATTACAAATAGATCGTCATCAGCACGCCTAAAGTGAACATATTCGCTGCATATACTCTCGTTATTGCTGTATTTTGATCTCACAGAGTGATAGCGGCCGCCGTTTTGTATGTGATACGATTTAGGATTGGAGCAACCGATTTTCATGGATTGGATATCTGTTGTTTCACTATATATGACAAACCGGTCACGAAGAAAGGACACTTTCCGCGGTCTTCTGTTTGGCCTCATAATCCAGCATTATACGAATATTAACCTGCTTGCCCTGTCATAGCGACCAATTTTCACTGATAGTCACTCGATTTGCATCTTCGAGAATGCTGATACGAAATCTGCTTTTGTCAGCAATTCTTGGAGCCGCTAACGTCCTTGTCGTTCTATGCTGCAACGGAGGTAATAATCAGAACGATTTACTTCAGCTCAAGTTATATATAATGCATCTATTCAATTATCAATGTGTTTTACATGACCCGACAACACAATATAATGCACGGACCCCGGCACCTTTTGTAATCGACAGTTTCTTCGCACAAATCCTGTAGAAAGACTCTGACATTTTACGTTTTGATAAAGTCTTAGAATTTTAGTCCCCTCTATGATTATCGTAGCATGCTGCTCGAGGCGATTTTTCTCAGAGTCTCATTTTCTAAAGCAGATTTGCTTGACTGCAATAGAATCTTGGGAAAGGAGATAGGACCAAGGCCTTGCTTAACAACTCACTTCAAAATACACCGCAGCACGAGCCACTGCGCGACATTGCACCTTTATATGTTCTTGGATAAAGTTAACGATAAATTAGTCTCCTGTGTTATAGCAAGATTTGGAAGAAAAATATTTATGCTTAGCTAAGTGATAACCTTTATAGCAAGTAAAGTTACAATAAGAGTTTAGTTGGTTAGCACTGCTGTTTGAACAAGCCTTATTGCTGTTTTGTAATCCTTAGAGATTAGTTTGTGACAGGTGAACCACCCGTGCTGAGAGCTCGTGCGAACATGCTCGAAGTTGTCCCAGGAGGGAGTCCGACGCGTGCCAGCGGGAACCGTTGCATTTGTTCAAAGAGGAGATGTGTTAACGGTCAGTTGGCATCTCTTTTGATGAATTACTGACTTTTCACTTTCAAATCTATCTGAGGATTTAGATCACTGGGACAGTGCATAATCTTACACCAGGCCAACATGGTATGCATGTTCATCAGACAGGCAATCTAGCAAATGGCTGTCTAGCGGCTGGTGATCACTACAATCCGACCAATATGAATCATGGTGCTCCTACTGCTAGGGTTCGACACGTTGGTGATCTTGGGAACATCGTCGCTGGGGTGAGAGGGTTTGATATATAGAAATTGCAGTACTAAGTATGGAAGTGAAGTATATGTGAGCAGCAAGAAACTTTTCTTTCAAATTCATTCGCCTGGAGACTTTACCTATCAGCACTGTGTTTTGCGCAGACAAGTTGATTTCCTTCGGCAAAGTACTTAAAGAGCACACGTGGTTGA